TTGTCGGCGCGCTTCTGTCGGCACGCTTTTGTCGGCGCGCTTCTGTCGGCGCGCTTTTGTCGGCGCGCTTTAGGACTAATTAGTCGCTCATTCATCGCGCGGTTTTGTCACCGTGCTTTAGACACCGCGGTTTAGTCAGGCGCGCTTTTGTTGTGCGCGCATTTGTGGTGGAACCGTTATTTCAGAAGCACGGTGTGGGGAAGAAAACAAAAGATTCCATCTGAAAACGAGGATGAAAGTTGTTGCTGTTTTAACAGAAATTTCTACCTTATTCTCACTGAAGAAAGAATATAAATATATATATACACTATTGCTAGGTCTGCCTCTCATCAAGCTAGGAATTTTGTTGCATCCCAAACTGATAATAATCCCTTCTTTTCCTAAGACCTGGGTTCTTAATACTACGCCCACTTTTGGGAGACAAGGGAAATGGTGCTGCTGAACCGAGATAGCAGCTGCAATACAATCTCAACATAAACACAGATTTCTCCCACCACCACCACCCCTGAGAGTGTATATATACGTATGGCATGAGTTGAGTATGTTCATCTCAGTGCTTTAGAAAACAATAGATGTCTTCCAAAACATTCTTTTGAACGCCACTCCTCTCGGATGGACAAGTTGGACTCTGTTTGAGATTTGAGCAGGTGTCAAAATCAGCTAGAATGTAGTGGAGCTGGTGGCCTCTTTCCGATGCTATAATTTCCATCTTCTTAAAGCCAGGGTGGTGCTGCACCCGTAGCACACCGTTGTTACAAAGGAAAAAATCTGGAGAGGGAAGAGGAGGCACGGGAGAAGAAATAAAAAGGAAAACGTGTGTCAAAGTTTGGCAGTTGCACTGGTCTTTAAGGTTTGTTTCCTAGATTGTTACTTTCACACAATAAACATTGCCCGTTGCACTTCTTGAAGCATTCAGCGTTTCATTAACTTAATGTCTGCATTTGGCTTATTTCATAGGGGAGGGAGCACGCACACACATGAGTGAGGAATGATCTTTTGTTGTATGGTGGGAAAAAACCCCAATACTGGGTATCCGCAAAACCGTTAAGTCCTGGCTGCTCCAGCAGGCCGGGGGGCTCTCGAAATATCCAGCCCCACGGAAACTGTGACTGTTGTGTATTTTAAAGTGTTGTTTGGTGTATTTATCCCCTTCCATTGTTTATTATAAGCCGCCCGGAGTGGGCGGCATACAAGACCAATAAACAAACAAACAAACAAACAAA